AGAAAATATCAGCGAACAGGACAATCAGAATATCCTAACCACGATTACGATTATTCAGACAAAGAAACGGAAATTAAAATACAAATAGAAAATTGTTCATGACTGAAGAAACAATTCAAAAAGGATATGATAAAGCATTATATTATCAGAATATAGTAGCAAATTTACAAATAGCACTAAAGCTTAAAGATAAAGAACAACAATTATTCTACCAAAACTTAATAACAAGATTAACTGAAGAAAAAGTTTTTCCACTAGGATACATTGACCTAATTTCAGAACTCAAAGAAAATAACAATAAACAAAAAGCAACAAACGAAATAATTAAATACATTACTTATTTCTTAGCTGAAATATTCAAAGAAACAGCAAAAGGAATCGCCAAGTCTAATGACTGAATTCTTTAATCAACTATTAAGAGAATACGAAAAAGGTGAAGAAATATACTTACAAGATCCAATTAACTTAGAACTAGAAGAAGTAATTCAAGAACTTAAAAACCTATACGATGAAGTACAAACTGAAGAAAGAAGGATTGATAATCTAACAATTACCACTTACGACGAGAGACAACAATTACAACTCTTACGAAAACTTGGAAGAGAAATTCAAAAGAATCTAAAAGGAGAATTCTATTCATTCAATTTAAAACCAAAAACAAGACAAGAAACTCTTGAAAATTCAAAAGAAGTTTTAGAAATATATTCAGCAAATTTCCAAAACATAAAAGAAAATAATAATAAAATTTACTGGTCAAAAGGACTACAACATTACGGATCATTTTATTGGTACCTTTATGAATCAGACCAACCATATTGACTTTTGGAACAACCTCTTCCTAACAGAAAAAGAAAAAGAAAAACTTTCGAAGACGTTAACACCCAAAGAAAGATTAGAAAAGAAGAAACAGAATTCTGAAAGATTTTTAATAGATAAACTAGAAAACAAAAGGGACCAAATCAAAGAAAAAATTAAGATACAAACAAAAGAAGAAACTGATAAAATACTACAAAAAATTAAGAAACAAATAAGAGACGAAAGAACAAAAACTAGAAGACTTAAAAGAAGAAATTCAAGAATTAAAAAGGCTGAACCAACAGGAAAAAGAACAACTAGACGAACAAATAAACAAACTGAATAAACAAAGAGATAGAGAAATACAAAAAAAACAACAAATTGATTACGCCCAATTATTAAGCCAAAACGAAATCTCAGAGATAGATAAAAAACTTAGAGATTCTGAATTTGAAAAATACTCAGAACACTATTTAGATAAACAATTACAAGAAAGAAAATTGAATTATCTTGTTTACGCATACAACTTGAAAAATATTTCAAAAGATAAATTAGAAATTTTAAACTATAACGGAAATAAATTCAAAAACGAATACAATTTAGAAGAATTCGATTTAATCTTTGAAAAAGAATAATGGAAGGCAACACTACCAAAAGAAGACTTATTAAAATAGTAATTGTAATAATATTTACTACTAAACCTGAACCAATGATCCTCTTAGGATTACAAAATAATATCACTCAAAGATATTATGGATACTACGATTCACCAGAAGGACATGCACAAGAAGAAGAAAAAGAAATAGTAACAGGAATCCGAGAAGTTTACGAAGAAATTGGATTAGAAATACAAGAAAAATTCGCCTCAGAAGTAGCAAGATCAACATATGAACCAATAGAAGAAAAGCACGGATTTCCATCTGAAATAATTACTTTTATACATCCATACTTAGAAGGACAACATTTTATAAACAAAGAACCAGAAAAACATGAACACTTTGACTTTTATACAAAAAAACAAGTGAAACAATTCTTATTAGTACCAGAAATAGAAAAGAATTTAGAAACAATATTTGAACATATTTTAACATATGAACTTTTAATGACCATTTTATTAACACTAACACAAGAAGAATACGATTCAGAAAAAGAATACGATAATGTTGAACAAACAGAATTAGAAAGAGCAATTGAAATAGATGCATACCCTATAAATAATAACGATCTATTAGAATCAAAAGAAATATTACAACTAGAAAAATTCTACAAAAATGAAATGAAAATATTAAATGAAAATCTAAAATTCTTAGCTCGGATTAAGAAACGGCTAACCAAAGCCAATGAAACAAAGTACCTTAGAATATTCCCCAGAACGGAAAGAAGTAGAATATTCAAATACTTAGGAAAATCACCAACTACAGAAAGATTGAAAAGTGAAACCACATTACCATGGCTAAAACAACAACAATTCAATTATCATATTGTAAAGAAGCCGATTTACGCACATAAACAATTGCTGGAATACGGACTTATTAAAATCCGACCATTCACCAATTACGGCTACTTTAACGACACAATTGACAATATAATCAAACAATACCCCGATTATATAATGAAGTAACATGATCAGAAGATCACCGGCAAAATAACCGGACACGTTAAAGTATAACCGAGCCCATATATTGAATAACATTAATACACCCCTGGTCTGCGAAGCCATGTGACAACGTTGAATCGCAGATCGAATAGTCGGATTCTCATGGTCGATGTTACATGGATATCCTAATATCTTCATAGCAAATAAGTAACACAATTTAAAAAATTGTTTATATAGGGCAGTCTAAACGTTACACCTCAATTAGTTTAATAATGCGAAGAATTTTAATATATAGATATCTGTTTACTAAAAAAACCTTTGTTAAGAAAGAACCGATTAAATATATTAATTAAAATACTTGAACTACATAACTATCTATTGCAAGTAATGACTTTGTTAATTAGAAATGACGTGAATTATAATCCAACACATTTAAATTTATACAAATTCAATCTCTAATTAGGATATTACGGCATTACGGCACAAATGTTTTACGGCAATTAGATGTTATGCCGTAATTAATTCTACCACGTGGTAAAATGCCGTAATTCAGTAATTCTACCAACAACTATACTCATACGTGTATCCGTCTGCGAAATCTTAAGTTTTATTGGTCCGCGTGACTTATTCAGACAATCACTTCATAGACACCGCATTTCACCGACAATTATTCACCGACAAGTTCATTTCACCGACAAGTTCATTTCACCGACAATTTATTTTACCGAAGCTTATTTCACAGACAAGGTAGTTTTAGCCATTGTCTTTAGGATCAGGTTAGAGTTAAGTTAGTGCAATTTATAAAAAAAAAACTTGTCGGTGAAATGAGCTTCGGTGAAATAACCTGTCGGTAAAATGAACTTGATGAAATGTGGTGTCTATGAAGTGATTGTCGGCGAAATAATACGGATCCGTAATTTGAATACAAAAAAATGAAAACGTAAGCGATATCGTAGTTACGATAACTAACGATAGTAAACGTAAGAATTTTAGACTCAAAAATTGGTAACCAGATACAGATTAATTTGTCTATTTACCTGATATTTAAACATTTTACATTTTTTTTTCGAAGGATTTTTTATTGGGTTGATTAAATGATAATCACTGATAGCAAAATAATTTTCAGATAACCTGATAATTTATTACACGTTACCTTGTAAACTTTTGTTTGATTAGCTAATGCAAGTTGATTATCTATCGCTATAGTATATATCAAATGCTTTACAATATATTAATGAGATGCTAGATTAGTTCTCGTTTGTATGTTACTTGGACCTACTATATCTGCTTTCGTTTCCGGTTTCTAGCATGACTACGTCACACAGCTACCTTATTATGTAATACCCCTCAAATCATTAATTCGCATTACTCATTCATTAAGTGGGTGAGTATAAAGAACATTTATTATTAATCATTGAAATTAAAAACAGCAAAGCAAATTCACAAATCAAGAACATAAATACTTATTTACTATTACTATTATGTAATACCCATCAAATCATTTAATTTACATTAATCATTCATTTAGTGGATGAGTATAAAGAACATTTATTAATCATCGGAATTAAAAACAGCAAAGCAAATTCACAAATCAAGAACATAAATACTTATTTACCATTACTATTATGTAATACCCTTCAAATTATTTCATTCGCATTAATCATTTATTTAGTGGGTTAGTATAAAGAACATTATTAATTAATGGAATTTTGAACAACAAAGCAAGTTCACAAATCAAGAACATAAATACTTATTTACCATTAATATTATGTAATACCCTTCAAATCATTTCATTAGTCAGTAATAATTAAAATTATTTACATTTATTATAAAGTTTATAATAGCATGGCAGATGAAACAAAATATTACATTATTTATTATTATTATATATGTAAATGTAAAGTGACTCTAAATTTGGAAAATGTGAATCTTATAATGAATATAATAACACGCAACCAACATTGACAAGTAGAAATAAGGATATTGATGATTGTAAAAGAATTTCAGCTTAGAGTTCATGCGTATAAAGATGCAATTGAATGGATTCCATTTGATAAATTATCTGGTGTTAAAGAAATCGGTAAAGAAGGATTTGGGTCTGTGTATTTAGCAACCTGCTAAATGGCATACGAAAATTTGGTGGTAATAACAAATAATCACATTAACCATAAAGCACCATTGCACTCAAGATGTTGGCAAGTTCTAAAGAAAAATAATCTTAAATTTTTAAAAGAAGTTAATAATTAATTATTGCTTTTACGTATAATTATTGAATATTAATTATTAGTTTATTTAACTAATTCATTAGGTTTAAAAATCTAATTATTGAGTTCAAATTTCCAATCACTTTTACTTAGCAATAATTCAACTTTTTTCTCTGTGAAACTAAACATGTCTGAGAAATGGGCACGCCCATATATACCAGGTAAATATGCATTGGGTAATGCACAACATTGTTAAGTCCAGAAAGGAACTTGCTTGACATAGAGGAAGCAGTCCGACGAACAGGATCTTATATACATATTCATTGTATTGCATCAAATTTTTCAGTTCAGCCAACAACTCAAATAATATGCACTAAGTAAAAATAAAGAACAGTTTACCTTCGCTATACTAGAGAACATGCACTTGAAAGAAATATTCGCTTCATTGTAAAATTCTTTGCACGTTTCATTGCCCAATCGTATTCATCAATGAGAATAATGTTCTTTTTGCCAAAGTATTCGTGAAGATGGTGTGATAGATGGGAGATAGTGTTTATTAAATGTGACTTGTCAATCATTTCATTTAGAATATTTTTAAATAAAGATTCATCATCTTGATAAAGCTTTTTATTATCAAGAATATAACACTCTTTGTAAAGATCTGATATTTTTTACTTGATGGAACACAGCATTGATTCCCAAGACTCATAATTCAGATCCTAATAAAGCATGCATAATTAGTCGTCCTGGGTAAAGGAAGAGTTGTGTTATTACTCACTTACCTTAAAATTAATATAAATAACAGGCCAATGTCAAAGTGTAACTTCATAAACCAATTGAATCGAGCAACTTTGAGGTTTTTAAACAATGCAAGCTTTTTTTCTTTTTCTTTTTCAGGACTGGTACAAGAAAACTATAAAGCATTAAAAGGGTTGTAGATTTTTCAAACTATCAGAGACAAGTAATAAGTATAGCGTGTACACTGTAGATCATGAATTCAATAATGAACAGCAGTTTGTCTATGAAAATACCTGATGTAACGAAATTAAAAAATCTGATTCAAACAAAGAATATTCCTCTTTGACAATTACATTTGGAGAAACTTTTACAGCGAGGAAAAGTCAGTAGTAATCAATCATTTTAAACATTTGAGAAATTTAGTATCAAATTTTACTTAGCTTGGAACAATGCCTTTCTGAATTCTTTAATTTATACATTCGAATAATATATTTTTTAATAAATAATAATGATCATTAAATAGTAAGAATTTCAGGAAACTCACCTTCTTCCTAGTTAGACCATGCCATAAACTTTGAATCATCAAAAACCTGCTCCCCACCGTGAGTTGGAATAGAAAGTGACGCAATTGATTAGATTTATGTCATGTGTTTGGCACAAAATACAGATATTTCAAATTCAGTTTTAAATAAAAACAAACTTGATTGGAATATACCTCTAATTAACTTTGGGCGTTTTTTCGGTGGTTCATTGTCTGCTATGGCACAAGTTAATAAATGAAATTATTGCAGAGAAAGTTGTATAAGTATGGAATATTCGAATGCAATCGTGGTACTACTTACCCTGCTCCTTGCCCTTAATTTTATCCATAAACTTTGCAAGTGTTTTGGCTGGTCCTCATTTTAAACCATTTTTCATTAGTTTATCCACATTTAACTTAAGGAAATTCTAATTATTAAGTCCTTAATTTTGAAGAATATTAAAATGCTTATCTTCAATTTCTAATTCTTGCTTGCATAAAAACTATATCAGATCCTCCGTTTTCTTATATCTTTCAGCTTTATTGATTGTAAGAAGTGAAATTAGTTTGCTGGTAAAAGTAGACATATTCATGAATTTAGTTTGGGAATAGGATGAAAATTTTTTTTAGTAAGAAATAGTCATACATTTATCTATTTTATTGTTTATACAAACAATCAAATTGACATAAAGTATCATGAAATATAATAATATTAAAAAAATTATAGAATTCAAGATCCGATGTAACATGAAATTAAAATAATGTATTAGATTAAGACTAGAGTCAAAGGTTTATTAGGTTAGCATTTGCAATAGTAAAAAATTTTCTAATACAAAATTTGCAAAGGATTTTTTTGTTAATGTGCAGAAAGTGGTTTCATATGGAAATTTTGAGTAACAAGTAATTTTTTAAAAAATTATAATTTTTACATTATACCTAATCTTGAATTCTGATTGATCAATCAGAAGTAATAATACATTGCACTGGCAATGAATAATAACTCTCTAATATTAATATAAAAACTTTTGAAAAATTGTCTAAAAAAAAAAAATCAAATTATTTCATTATAATACAATAAATTTAATATTAATAAAGAATCTTTAAAAAGATCAGATTATCTATCATTTATGATATTTTTGTAATTATAAAAACTTCTTTCAATATTTATATCAAAAATAGGTAACCATATATATAAAAAATAATTTTTAAAAAATAAGACAAATTTTTAATTTTTCTTTCAAATATTTTTATTATTATTATTTATTTATATAATATTATAGTAAAAACTTTAGAATACAATAAGAAATTTAATTACTGAAAAAATTTTCTAAAATAAAGATTTTTAAACTACATGTGTTTCTAAATTAGACATCCAATGTGACATTACACCTCCTATTTTCTAATAAGTGTTATAAATAATTGTTTTAAATTATTTTCTAGCTAAGATAGGTTGAAGAAAACCTTTTCTTTCAAATATTGATTTGAATATAAATTATTATTTAATTTTTTTTTAATTTACAATAAATACTTCAATTATAAAAAATAACAATTTTAATATAATGGTTAAATTGTTATTTTTTAAGTAATAAGCTTAAAATTCAAATATTACAGTAACAAAATTTAAAAAAATAATTGTATTTTAAGAATTATCTAGAAATTCAAAAATTGTAGTCTTATAATTTTAGTTATATTAAAATTAATTTTAGAAATATACAATATTATATAAAGAAATCTAAAAATATATATATTAGAATAAAAAATTTAATTAAAATTTCTAAATGAAGAAATAGTATAATCTTTAATATTATTATTTGTAAAAATCTTGATTCTAAAAAAAAAACATAAAGCAAATAATTTGTATAAACAAGAACCTTTAAATAGAAAATATTATCAATCTGGCTATTAGTTTATCTAGATATAAGTTATATTATATATAACTAATTAGATTAAAAATATAAGAAAATTTGTAAAAATAAATAAAATACTAGTAAAATTGTACTAGAGTTATATAAACTTTATAATAATTAGAAACTAAATTAGTTATAGAATTAATTATAAAAGATTCTAATGATAATGCTTTAAGAGTATATATAAGCTATTTAAGATTATAAATTAATATTTGTAATTTTTAACTAATATATGTACTAAAAAATATTGTAGTAATAATACTTGTTATCCAAATTTTAAACTTAAATCTAAAGTAATAATTTTTTTTTTTTTTTAAAGAGTGAGACCTGGTCTTGGTCTTTATTGAACAATTTGGTATTATATTAATAAAAATGAGTTACATAAATTATTACATGGCCTATAGCTAGGACTAATTTATTCTCAGCTCAAAACTTTACTAGAGTAGACTGTCAGATCTCTTCTAGATTTAGTGTTGCAATATAAGATGTAGATATGTTTGTAGTAGAAAAATAGTTGTTCATTTTTCATATTTTGTTATAGCTACTTGGTCTGTGGCTAGGTGTTCTGAAGTTGTAATTGTGAGTGTATTTGTTAGTAGGTCATTTTGATGCATTGCTTTGCATCTTTCTGTCCATATTTGTTTGTAAATATTATTTGATATTTTATAAAATAGAATAACAAGCATCAACAAAAAAAAACTCTTCCTGCTGATCACTCAAACACAAATTCGGCAAGAAACAAAAATCAAGTTTACACAAAAACGGCTGTCTAAACCACTCTGGT